AGCAAATGGATGCAATATAACAAAGAGTGAAAAATTTAAGGGGGTCTGAATACTTTCCGTACCCACTGTATATAGAGAGAGAGAGATATATATATATATGTGTGTGTGTGTGTATTATGTATATATAAATACACACACATGCATGTATATATTTCAAATAAATATGTTATTTTTACATATTAAATATATTTATATATAAATTATATGAATACAAATATATACATGAAAAAATATGTAAAAAATATAAACAGTGTGTGTGTTTATATATACATCATAAATATACACAGTACACACACATATTATGTAAAAAAAAAAACTTTTATTTTGGATGCAATTAATCGCGAATAATAATTTGACAGCACTACTAAAAATATTTACTGCATTTCATGCACACTGTACGCAAACCTTAACATATTTGAAAAACCCAAAGTATACTTGGTCAGCTGACTAAATAGGCAAAACGACTGCATCACAACATCTTCTAAGTCCAGAAAAGCATTTTTCGTTTAGGTTTACGAGCATATACCTTTTGGTCACTGGGAAATGTGGTAAATCCCACAATGCCTCTGTCATACATTAATCTAGTTTTCCATCTCTATTTTTTTTTTTCTTTCAGACCCCGGTCCTCCAGCGGGCATTAAAGCCGTGCCATCCTCTGCCACCAGTGTGGTGGTATCCTGGCTTCCCCCTATCAAGCCCAATGGTATAATCCGAAAATACACAATTTACTGTTCCAGCCCTGGATCAGGCCAACCGGTGAGGCAAAAAGGGGTAACTTGTTTTTAACATTGATTTTGGTGTTGGCATCGCTTGGTTTAGTATTTTTGTTCAAAAATAAAGGCATGCTTGCATTTGTGTGTTCATCGAAGCAGACCAAAGTGAATATGTGTGTATTTTTTTACACTTATGTGCTTTATTTCATATGGGTGTCGGCACAGTATGTGTGGATTTTATATTCTATCATTTTTCTTTTGATTCTAAGTATAAATCAGTGTTTATTTCGCCATATTGTCTATTTGCGTCTGGATGTGTGTCGAGTGTATTTTTAATCTGTGCATGTGTGAGGTTGTGCTGCAGTATCAGCAGGATGTGTGTGTGCGTGTGTGTGTGTAAATGAGAGGCTCATACTGCAGTGTGTGCATGCAAGCTCACCCTCCCGTCTCATTTGCATATCTGCGTCTCATCACGTTGCCTAGACAACCTCATCTGTTCATCAGGGAGGGCAGGAAACAAGCTGACAGCACACACACAAACACACACACATACATACACACATCCCACAGGCTCGATCACATTTATAACCACCTCCTCGACAAACACACACACACACACACACACGTAATTTGTGTACTCTCACACTGAATTAATGTACCTGTCGAGATGTACACATGCTCACTCTCTTCCTTTCTTTTGCTCATTCACAAATCACTCCTCTCTCTCTCTCCGGCCTCTCGCAGAGCACGGGGTGATTACTATGTAAATGAGTGTGAGAGGAGAAGGGGGAGGAGGTAGAGAAGGAGGAAGGGGGGTCAGACTCAGTGTGCGGGGAGTACTTTTGTTCCTCTTTTCATTATCTCCCTCTATCGCTCCCCGGATCACTGCTATCTCCACACCGGAGGAATATTTTAATATCCGTTACAGCGCTCCACCCCTCCCGTCTGCACCTCCCGTACCTGATTCATGCTGAGAGAGCGAGAGAGAGAGAGAGAGAGAGAGAGAGAGAGAGAGAGATTTAGATTTTCAAAACCCCTTTTATTGCATTTTATGCCAAAAACCAATAAAACAAATTACCAAACACTAATTAAATATTAAGATTAAAAAGTAAAATACAACTCTTCTTCAACAATTTCACAAAGAATCTCACTTAAACACCAAGTTGCTTCAAAAGATACAAGATCATGCATTAATCTATAATAATGATAAAATCCTAGATTTTACAAATTTTACAAAAACAGCTTCTAAACTACTACAAACATTTAGCTCAATTTTTTTTCTTTTCTTGTAACATAAATTGCCATTTTTGCTTGACCTAACAAGAAGTTCAACAATTGAGACGTTTTTTGACATATCTAAAACCACAAATAAACATTTTCATTGAAAAAGTCACATCAGAAGAATTAAAAAAACTTCTTCAAGATATCAAATACAGGTTTTAACCTCTCACAGTCCAGGAAAGCATGACAAATAGTCTCTTTATGCAAACAAAAATGACAATTTTCAGTAATGTCAGAATGTACACTTCGCCATGGTGTGTCACACTTATTATTCAAAGATTTATTGTTAAATGCTTTAATACAACTCTTTTACAAATCTTTGAAATACAGAATTTGAACCCACAATCGTCAATTATTTACAATCCAACAGCATACCATTGCCCTCTTCCAAAAAGAGGGTTATACTCAAGTTTGGAAAAGGGTCTTTACAATCAAAATTGATAGACTCCTTCGAGTACTGATCCAACAATTCCATTTCTTCACTAGTAAGGGCTGATCTCTATTTATCAAGTGCTTTTGCCACTATGCTGTATGATTTAATTTCTAACCGCTCAGCAATCACGGTCACATTTATAAAAGCAGTTCCTGATATTTGATGTAGATGACCGATTGTTGTCAGCTGGGCATTACACAAAGTCCATCTCACTTGATAAGTCCAGTCATGAGCCAACAATCAATGGCTCCTGTAATAACCAAAAGAGGGAAGTATTACTTTCCCAATTTGTCTTAAATAAAGACCAGACTTTAAACAAGTTACGATAAAAAACTGGAGAATCACACAGTTTTAATCTTTGAAGGTCCAACCAAAATAAGGCTTTGTCTAGTCCTAAGCCTTCAATACATTGAAGAATTGCACAAGCTGCGCTCATCCAACTTGACTCTACAGAGCACCTTAAAAGTCTTTGAACATATTCCAGACGAAACACAGCCGTTCTGCTCTTCAAGTGTACCAATCCAAGTCCTCCTTCATCTTTTGGTAAATACAAAACACTTTGTGTCACCCAGCGCAATCTTTCCAAGTAAAAATCTATTAAAATTGACTGGATTTTCATTAGAACATCAGCTGGAGGATCTATACAGGCTAAGCAGTGCCAAAGTGCAAAGGCTACTAAATTATTAATCACCAGAATACGTCCTTTACATCCAGTCACCCTTTTACTTTTTCAACATTGCCTTTTTCATTTCCTAAAAAGACACCAATATATTTAAAACCATCCCTGGTCCATTGTAGACCATCAGGAAGCCTTGGGTCACCATTTTTCCAGTTTACCTTTGCAGAAGAAAGAGTATTAAAATCATCCAAAATCTTTAAAATCACATTGACATTGTTGGATTCACTAATTATAATAATGACATCATCAGCATACGCTATTAGCTTTAAAGTATTAACACAATTTGGTATACATAATCAACGCACATAATTTCTTAATTTATTTAACAGGGGTTCTATGACTAAGGAATATAACATGCCTGACAGCACACATCCCTGTCTGACACCCCTATACACCCTAAACGGAGAGCATAGGTTAACATTAATCTTTAATATACTCTCAACGCCACAGTACATAACTTTAATCATTGAAATAAAAAGATAATTAAATCCAAAAGCCGTTAAAACACTCCATAAATACATACAGTATATTCAATTCTGTCAAAAGCCTTCTCTTGATCAATTGAAATCAGCCCAAAATCTAAATCTAAAAGTTTTCCACAGTCTAAAATGTCTCTAATAAAAGAGACATTATCAAACATTCTTCTTCCTGGCATGCAATATGACTGATCTGGATGAATAATAGATTCAAGGACTTCACCAAGTCTAATTGCTAAAGCTTTAGACAGTATTTCATAATCTTTACATAATAAACTTACTGGTCTCCAATTTTTTTATTTCATTTAAATCTCCTTTTTTTGGCAATAAGGTAATGATCTCTCTGGCAACTTCTGGGCAATTGTCCATTTACCAGACTCTCATTAATAACATATACTAATTCTGGACCAACTTCTACCCAAAAAGATTTATAAAATTCAATCGTGAAACCATCAATACCTGGTGTTCATCCATTTTCCATTTTTTAAGGGCTTCTTCAAGTTCACCTAAGCTCAAGGTTTTACTCATTTTCTCATTAGCATCTTCAGTTATCTGTGGTAAATTAAAAAAAATTATAATTACCATCTTGTTCTCCTGAAATTTCACTTTTGTACAAGTCTTTATAAAACTGTACAGCTCTTTTTCTAATTTATCTAAGGGGTTAGTCAAAAACGTCTCTAGGTTACGTATGTAACCATGGTTCCCCGAGGGAACGAGACGCTACGTCGAGATTCGCTTTGGGAACACCCTTGTGTGACCGCATTCTGAAGCACGTGTCAAATCCGTCCAATGGAGCAGCGAGATGTCACGAGCAGGGTGACGTAAGCACCAGAAAGCATAAAAGCGCATCCGGCCGGGCGCCACCCAGCTTCGATGAAGTAGCGCCTGCAGGGATGCAGGGAGTATGGCAAAGAGACGCAGTGTCTCGTTCCCTCGGGGAACCATGGTTACATACGTAACCTAGAGACGTTCCCCTTCAGGAACTCGAGCTGCGTCGAGATTCGCTTTGGGAACGATAATACCAACTGTGCCATACTACCAAGTCCCTGCCTGTGTGTGTATCTTATGAGCACACCACGAAGAGAGAACTTGGGAACCTGGGGTAGATGAAGTGTGCGGAAAGGACCAGCCCGCCGCAGCACAAATATCCTGCAAGGCCACACCCAAGCTGAAAGCCTTGGAGGC